ATGAAAAAAACGTGACTTTTATGAACATATTTAATAGTTTTATGTGCTATATTGTCTAGGTTGGTGTTGTATATTACGCTACAAAAACCTTGTATTAAACTGCCAGAACATTTTTTTGTTATTTTACAGACTTATCCCTCTATACATTATGCATTACATTATTTCAAACTACTTCAAATGTCAATAAAAGTCACTTTGTTAAACTGAAGAGTTGAATTTTTAACATTGAAAGTCAACACAGCAGAGATCAGCATCCCATAATGCAATTCCAACCCAAGCTCATTCTGGAAATGTAGCCCCGCAGATGTTTCTGGAGACCGCGATTTACGTGGCCGGAGGTACGTAAGGCCGCGTTTAGTTTTTTCGAGCAAACGCTGCGGGGCTGTGTGGCGCCACTCCGCCCCTCTTCTTCGCGATCGCCGGCCGACGGCTCGCCTCCGAGGGGAGGGCTTTCCCGATGCAACCAGTTTGTCCGCTTAGCTCACAGCGTTGCGTTGGCGGAGCGGAGGCCCCGGAGGAGGAGGAGGAGCTGGAACCGGTCGCGGGGACGACGACCGGGATCGAGTCCGGGGAACAGCAGGTTCCGGAAATCAGGTAAGACGAAAAACGGAATCCAAAAAATAAGGGCGAGATGGCGGCGGGATCCGAAAACGCGGTCGAAATCGAAGACGAGGGCTTTTACTTTTTTTTTTTTTTCTGGACGGCTTTTGCGAACCATCACTCGGGTTTAGGTAAGAAGGAGGAGGAGGAGGAAGAGGAGGCGATCCAGCGGCTTTTCGCGCAAAAACGGCGCGGGCGCGAACGGCACAAAAACTGCTCGAATACGTACCTCCCGGGACGTAAATCGCGGTCTGTAGAAACGTCCGCGGGGCTACGTTTGCACAATGAGCCCGGGTTGTGCAATTCACAACAGTAAATATACAGAAAATGCTTAAAATATGGAAACTGTTCACTAACTGATATTTTTTTTTTACAGAATTGAGCTTCATAAAGCTACAGTATTTTATGGCTCCTAGAGAATTTGAACACTTTTATGATGCTTTTTTGGTACTATCCTTCCATTTTTAAGCCTTTCTTTCACACTCAGAGACAAATAACAAACCATGGCTAATTAAACGATGATAGTCCAGTCAGTTTTCGAGTGTGAATCAATCATTACGACAGGTTTATAAAAAGGGAACACTTTATAATAACCACACACAATGAATCATGTATTGAGCATTAGCAAATGGTTAATTCATCATTCAACTCTACATTAATATATACTAATAAGTAGTTTATAACTACATCTACAGATGCTGTATTCTTGACTATAATGCGCTCAATGATTGGGTTTTCATATTTTTTTAATGAATAATTTTCCATCACTACATTAAGCATTGCATTATTTACAAACCAGGGATTTAAGAATAGTTGGTGTTTTTTAAGATTATTCAGAATTCGTAAATGATTATTAAACTATTCAAATTAACATTTATATATGCAACTCAGGCTCATTCTGAAAATGTACCCCTGTATGCATTTCTGGAGAGCACCAAATACATCCCTGGAGCTACGTTTTATTTTCACCAATCCTCCAGAGGGCGCTGTGTATGCTTTTTCACATCTCAAATTTGCCATTTATGCTTGCTGTTCTCACCTAAATCCACTAGAGGCTGCTGTCGATGACTGATTGATCGACTGACCCACCCTCCTCCTTCCCTAAACCCAACCGATAGTGTTTTCAAAAGCTTAGATTGACCTGATCACCCCCTTCCGACAGATTTAAAAAGCAATCCAGAAAAAGAAAAGCCCTCGACTGACTTTTATCACGTTTTCAGATTTTACCACATTCTAACCCTGTTATTTGTTTATTATCATTTTTTAGCTTGTGTTTTTGTTTTACCTGTTTCAAGAACCATTTTTTGTCAAATTTGAACCTCATCATTGTGGTCAACTCCTCTCTGTGTCTCAAGTCCACTGGCGTACATGGTGAGCTACTGGACGAACTGGTAACTGTAAGAAAGCCGTCCATACGGAGGTAAGAGGTTAGCTGGTAGCGCAAAAAAGGACGGCATCGTACCACCCTGTAGCGTTAGTTTTCAAAGATGAAATGCAGCCATACGTAACTCTGGCTACATAATTCACGAAGTTGCGCGCATCACATCACCTGTGCGCGCGATTAATCATCCTCTCATGCGGTATTCACCTGCTTTGTCTCGCGCGAACACAGTTGTTTTCAGTCGTGCTGTTTCTCGATTCTAAGATCACATTTGCACGCTTATTGGGCCCTCCTTATTGTCGAGTCGAACCCTGCTTTAAGAAAACTACAATGTAAAAATTATTTCCAACCTGCAAATGTGGCTAGTGGGAGCGGCTGAATAACCCGCCAAAGCTGAAATCTACCCGCATTTGGCGGGTGTTAATGTAAAGCCCTGGTTACATAAGTGCATCACAAGCAATGCATCAAAATTCCGCTCATTCATTCATTAGTGTTCTTTTCAGCTTAGCACCTGATTAATCTAGGGTTGCCACAGCGGTATGAACCGCCAACTTATTCAGCACATGTTTTACGCAGCGGCTGCTCTTTCAGCTGCAACCCAACACTGGGAAAATTCCACTCATATTCTGAAATACTTTACATTTCAGGATGATATCTGACTGAATTGGGATGATCTGACTCTGAAATGTTTTGTGTTTTTGTCGTAAAGGATTACGAAATGGATACGCATCGCACTCAGTGTGCAAGGTTTGTTTACGTGACAAATTTTTAGCATATAAATACAAAAAAACCCATACGAAAGTTTCAGACTTTAGTGTGCAAAACCCTTAAATCCTACCCAGGCTCATTCTGAAAACGTGGTACCTCGGACGTTTCTGGAGACCACGAGATATGTCCCGGGAGATACGTATGGCTGCATTTATTTTTTTTTAAGCAAACTAAAAGGGAGGTATGAAGCCGTTCTCGCTTGCCGGCTGACTGCTTACCTCCGTGTGACAGACAGAGAGGTTCGAGAGGTTCGAGTCCGGGGAAGAGCGGTTGCAGAAATCAAGTAAAACTGATGAATCCAAAAAATAAAGCGAACGAGTTCACGACGGGGCGAAAACGTGGTGATATCCGAAAACGTGGTGAAAAAAAAAACTTTTAAGGGCTTTTCTTTTTCTGGACGGCTTTTGTAAACCGTCGGTCGGGTAGTAGTAAGCGGGCGGGCCGGCGGGTCAATCGGTAAAATTATTGCTTGGGTTTAGAGAAGGAAGGGGGAGGGTGTTGTCAGCCGAGCCGATTGGCCGGTCGCGCAGTCAATCGTTCGTTCAGTCAGTTGTACAGCGGCCTCTGGCGCATTGACACGAGAACAGCGCAGGCGTGAACGCCGCTCGGGAGATTCACAGCGGCCTCTCGCGGATTCGCGAAAGGAAAAACTGTACAAATACAGCACCTGATTAATCTAGGGTTGCCACAGCGGTATGAACCGCCAACTTATTCAAAACATGTTTTATGCAGCGGATGCTCTTCCAGCTGCAACCCAACACTGGGAAAATTCCACTCATATTCTGAAATACTTTACATTTCAGGATGATATCTGACTGAATTGGGATGATCTGACTCTGAAATGTTTTGTGTTTTTGTTGTAATGGATTACGAAATGGATACGCATCGCACTCAGTGTGCAAGGTTTGTTTACGTGACAAATTTTTAGCATATAAATACAAAAAAAAAAACCCATACAAAAGTTTCAGACTTTAGTGTGCAAAACCCTTAAATCCTACCCAGGCTCATTCTGAAAACGTGGTACCTCGGACGTTTCTGGAAACCACGAGATAAGTCCCGGGAGGTACGTATGGCTGCATTTAGTTTTTTTTAAGCAAACTAAAAGGGCGGTGTGAAGCCGTTCTCGCTTGCCGGCTGACTGCTTACCTCCGTGTGACAGACAGAGAGGAGGGGTCGACCTCAACAACCAGGTTCGAGTCCGGGGAAGAGCGGTTGCAGAAATCAAGTAAGACAAAAACAGAATCCAAAAAATAAAGCGAACGAGTTCACGACGGGGCGAGAACGTGGTGATATCCGAAAACGTGGTTAAAAAAAAACTTTTAAGGGCTTTTCTTTTTCTGGACGGCTTTTGTAAACCGTCGGTCGGGTAGTAGTAAGCGGGCGGGCCGGCGGGTCAATCGGTAAAATTATTGCTTGGGTTTAGAGAAGGAAGGAGGAGGGTGGTGTCAGCCGAGCTGATTGGCCGGTCGCGCAGTCAATCGTCAATTGTACAGCGGCCTCTGGCGCATTGACACGAGAACAGCGCAGGCGCGAACGCCGCTCGGGAGATTCACAGCGGCCTCTCGCTGATTCGCGAAAGGAAAAACTGTACAAATACATACCTCCCAGGACGCATCTCGCTGTCTCCAGAATCGTCCGCGGGACCACGTTTTCATGATGAGCCTGGGTTTGCTTAAATCCTTCACAAATTGATGGACTAACTATATTCCTAATGCTTAGTGATTGATTCATAGTGTGCAGCCATTACAAAGTGTTACTCTACATTCAGGAATCTGTGTGTGTTTTGCATTCAGCACTGTAATGAGAGGTTTCTCCACGGTTCTACTGATCAGAGGTAAGTGTTAAGGCAGACTGACGACACCTGCAGATTCCTGTTGTCTGTTGTTTGACCAATTAGCAGCAATCGTAGCAGCGACAACAACAGCAGCGCGCCGTGCTAAGAAACAAAGCCAGTCCATTCTCACCACAATCACGCACAGATCTATCAGCGGTGGCTCTCAATCCAATCACAATCAGGTTATGAACAGAACATAAAGAGTGTGCAGCCATTCGCAGGATTTCTGCCGACGTATCACTTTTCCAGCCTCGTTTCAAGACTCAATCAGTCTTCCAGGGGCCAAAAACATACAATAAATAGTTCAGAGAGTGTGTTCTGGTGGAACGTTCTTCTCCATTTGAGATGAGATCTTGGTGAAAACATTATCGAAAGCTCTTGTATTTTTTATTTTTGTTGTTCCTGGTTGAATTGCGCTCATGCTTTCTTTCATTTTTGCTGTATTTTTTTGGAGGTGCACACAAGCCGGCTTTGGTCCTTTTCTTGGGTTATGGCATTGGGATCTCTTTCCAGACGTACGGTTTTATAGGGTAGGACTTGGAAAGGATGAACAGTTATGAGAGGAGAGGTACAACTGTGAAGCAGCAGCAATTCTGGGACTTTTCTTTTTAATCTCACCCTGTCCCAGTCTGTGCACAAGTGTGTGTGTGTGTGTGTTTGTGTGTGTGTGTGTGTGTTTGTGTGTGGTTAGAGCGCTTTAGCCAAGAGAGTGTAAATGCTCATCTTTTCGGTTCTCCAAAGCATTGGGGTCCCGGCAAGCGCACTCTCTTCGGATATCACAAGACATGGGGAACGGGATCACCTATGAGGGGGGAAAAAAGCACACGTTAATGCATGCAACTCAGAACACTTAAAGGGGACAGTTCACATATGAATATTCACTCCTGTTGCAAATGTTTATGCGTTTCGTTCGTCTGTTCAACACAGGACATGATATTCTGAATGATGATTGGTCAATTGCTTTTCATTGTGAGCATTCTTCAGTATATATTCATTCATTCATTTTAATTTGG